ATGTATCTTACCATGCAATGTATAAAGTGTAAAATATTGTACTAATTCATTATATATAAATGATTATGGTGTGCTTAAACTTCTTTCATTATGTTTGCCAACTCGCTATATAATCAACTTAAATCAGTTATATCTATCATGCAATGCATTTCCTTCCAATTTTTTGTGATAAACTAATAGATAATTGACTAAATAAACATCCTTCAAAGTTTCAATAAAAAATTTCAAGTTTTTCTTACAATTTCCATGGTTTTTATTCAATTTTTATCGATATCAATAATATCCCGATATTTCCATCGAAATTTCCGTGTTTTTGAACTATCGATATTTCCGATATCATCGATATTTTATACCTTGGTCTTATCAAGGTTTGAGTCCTGCTATCAGTACTCTTATTGGTGCGTGATATAAATTCTTACGTAAATTCATACAGGTAATAACTGCCAGTTAGGTGTCATATGTAAGTTTTTACAGCTCGAGGTTGTGAGTATATCCTAACGTTAATGATGAGAGTAATCAATCACCACCTAAACTTTTCTTCACAAAATAATAATAATAATAATAATAAATAAATAAAGCTAGCTAGCTAGCATACCTCCTGATAAATAAATAATTGTAGTCTTTTGCGATCTTGTTGAGAAGGACGATAAGCCAATGGACGTTCCCAAATAGGTGGGCTAAATCTTCCTTTATTGCTTTAATTATTAAAAAGGTTTGATTAGTGCAAATTAACTAAACTTATGAAACTTTTTCTATAATTAAAGTATGTTCAAAGTCATGTAATATAACTCCTACGACGTGTTTACTTACGTATCAAGAATGAGAAATGGAATCGTTCTAATTCTTGAGTTCTATATGTTACTTAAATTTGAGTATTGGAATCATTTCAATTTATAGCTTACGTTGGATACCTGAAAAATCAAGAATGAGGATCACTTTGGGAAGACTAGTCGATATAGTTTCCTTTCCTTACTTCCCCTATTCCCATGTTCCCTCTTGTTAAGTAAAAAAGTTAGTGATTCAAGTTATTGGATGTATCTATCGATGTATCTGTATTCCATGTTCGATTGTTCTTTTCCTCGTATTGATTTGTGTCTGAAAAGAAAATACAGCTCTTCACACTAAACGTCAACGTAAAAAGCATGGTTTAATCTTTGTATTATTGAAACACATTCAATCATAAACCACGAGTGCATGTCTTGATGTTTAAATCATATATATATGGTGACTTGAAAAAAAATTAGAAGCCTCTAAATCGTTGAAAGTATGACTTGATCTTTTCCTAATTGCTAATTGGGTCATTTCATCATGCTCGCACCGTTAATTGTTTGGTCAATTTCGTCACTAATTATTGCTTTTATATCCTAATCAGGGACCAATCATGTTATTTACACAGATTAACAATGCATAGACCATTGCGTACGGTCGCTCCTGAGTAAGTTGTATTCTATGCATGCCACTTGATATATAATAGTAGTCCACATTTAATTACATTTTAATACTTGATACCCAAAAATCTCGAGGAATTAATTTAGTGAAAAGCAAGTAAATGTTTGGAATTTTCTATTTGAGTTCGAACTTTCACACTATAGGTTATGCTTTGGTACAATTTGGGTCGGCTAAAATTAAGTTGATGCCTCATATGGTACCAAAGATGCATAAAAGCATCTTCAGAGAAAATGTGAAAATGCCAACATCACCAATAACAAGAAAAAAAGACAATAGTAGTATTTTCCAAACGAAATGTTAATTCTTCCATGACATGACCGTGCCATGAATTGATTTGCCGTCAAATTTGACAACAACTTCAAATCTATTTTCAGTTGACATTTTGGGCCATACATGAATTAATAACTAGTCGATTAAAAATAGATTTGGGCCATACATGAATTAATAACTAGTCAATTAAAAATAGATTTGAAGTTGCTCTAAAAGAAGGAGATTAATTACTAATCCATGTATGTCCAAAAAAAAGAAAGAAAAGGTTTTCCCATCTCACTGAAGTAAAACTTATGAACCGCTACTTAGTATTGCGGTCTTGTGGTATTCCTTTTTACTTGTAAGTGAAAGGTTTTAGATTCGATTCTCACCAAAGGCAAATTCAAACAACATTATTACTGGTTCATTGTGAGATTTAGTCCATATCTCTCCTCCTTAGTGTAGATAATATTGTTTGTTAAAAAAAAAGATATAAATTGTCCATTCCAAGACAATTTACATCTCCCATTGAAGATACCCTTATTAGTTTTTTTTTTTTTTTTTTTAAACAAACGATAGTATTTACACTAAGGGGTAGAGGAGTAAACTAAGTTTTACAATGGGCTTACCATAATAATGTGGTTCAACTTCGCTTTTGGCGATAATCAAACATAACTCACTTACAAGTGAAAATGAATATCACCAGACCATATTACTAAGTGACATATGCCCTTATTAGTTTTAAAATACAAGAAATGTGTATTTGGCATTACGTTTTAGTTTCATTGGTAAAATCACATTAGAAAGTTCCACTTTTGAAAGCGTCTTCTTAGTATTTCTCTTGGGAATTTGATGTTGAAAAGTTCTCATTCCCAAGCAAATTACTTGCTAATGGGTTGAATTTCATTGGTGAAATCCCACTTTAAAATTAATTCTAGGCCAAAGCATAACCTAGAGAGAGAGAGAGTCGTGTTGCTGACTCGTTGTCGTTGGGAAGGTGCTTGTTCACATTGGGGAGCAGCCGGCGGAACCGACGGCGGCGGGGAGGAGGGGAGAAATGATTTGTATTCTAGAACTCTCATGGTTGTATAAATTATTTATATTCAATGTGGGCAGACTAGACTAAGCAAGAAAAGTCAAACTTTTAAAGGGCATAATTTACATTGTTTTAGTTATAAAGTTCAGGGAGAGGCGGCGGCAAACCGCCACAAAAGAGGGGTAGTGACGGTTTGTTATGTGGGGATTGTTGTTTGGTTTTTCGTTTTTCTTTTTTAAACTCGAGATGAAATGAGTTAAAGAGGATGATTCTAATTATTAGAGAAATCTACGACTTGCCCGTTTTCGTTTTGTTTTTTGTTTTGGTTTCTGTAGTCATTTTTCATTTGGGGTGTGCTATCCATACACATCCTTTGTTAATTTATATCCATTGATCTTTTTCAATTCATCTGATCCAACGGTCGAAAATTAAAAAAATGTGTGAGAATTAAACTATGGTGTGTGGATATCACACGCCTTTCTATTTTTGTTAGATTTCCGAAGATGAATGATAGTAGTAATCTTCTCGACTTGCCTTTTGTTTTGTGTTTTTTTTCAAAATAGTGGGTGGGGCTAGAACTTTATAATTTTATTTTATATTTAATTTGGTTTATTTATTAAGGGTATAAGGGTGCGTTTGGTACGTGGGACGGGACGGGACGGAACGGGACGAGGCGTTCCGTCCCGCGTTTGGTGCGCCAAAAATGGGTGGAACGGGCTGTTCCACGGGACAGATTTTGAGTGTTTTTGCGTTCCACCTCCCCCCTGGAACGGGTTTGTTCCACGTTTGTGGAACGCAATGTTTTACCATTTTAAGACAAATATACCCCATGTCTTTTTCAAAAATTACACCTTCGTTCCGTCCCGTCCCGTCCCGTCCCGTCCCGTTCCGTTCCGTTCCGTCTGCGTACCAAACGCACCCTAAGGGAACGGAAAAGGATCTTAGCAGGATCACTTTCTTAGGAATCCTAGAGATTCCGTGATCTCATATGTTTATCGTATATCGTGTGATTAGTTTTCGTTTGATATTATTCATATTTAATTTAAAATAATTTCTGACCGCACGATGTACGATGAACGGATGAGATCACAAGATCCCTAGGATTCATAGGAAAAGGATCTGGCGTAAGGTACCGTTTGGTACGTGGGACAGGACATAACGGAGTGGGTAGAGGCATTCCGTCTCACGTTTGGCGCGCCTAAAACGGGTGGAACGTGTTGTTCCACGGGACGAATTTTGGATGAATTTTTGTTCTACCTCACCCTCTTGGAACAACTCGTTCCACATCCGTGGAACACAAAATTATAGCATCTCTGTCTCATTCTTCTTCCTCCTTATTTCCATCCGAGGGCATCTTTGTTCCCTCTCTGTTTCGTCTCGTCCTGTCCCGTCATACCAAACGATACAAGAACCAAGAATTTGTATTTTCGAGGACATTAAAGTTTTTAATTTAATGTGATCGTACACATGTCAAAAGTTGAATGGAAAACACACAAAAAATTATAATTATAATTATTTAGGATGGTAAGAGAAAATGAACATGACAACTCGAGAAAATATACATGTCAACTTGAGGATTAAAATACTGTAATTGAAAAGGTAAGTGAGATGGTAAGGTTTGGAAATGGATCATCTCCGGATTTCTTTCCATTAAATTCATCAAGTTCGGGATTTGGACTGTTGAAATTTGATTCAACGGCTATAAACAATGGGCCCTTTAAAAGTTATAATAAATGTAGTCGTTAGATCAAATTCCAACAGTCCGGATCTCGAACTAAGTGTGGTGGAAAGGGATCCTCTCCGAATCCCTTTCCGTAAGGTTTAAGCCTAAATTCGTTGTGAAAAAGTGACTGGCATTTTCATTATTAATAATTGAGTTCAAACTGTCATGGCACGTACCCTATTGTTATGCACCATTATTTACGTTAACAAGTGCGGAATATTTAGTATTAAATTCATCATTCACGAAAATCGAACCTTAAACTTTCCACTTATAAATGAAAATGTATACTGTTTGATTATACCGCTACATAGCCACTAACGTTTGAATAATTTAGTATCGAAATTTAAAAGCAAGCCGCAAACGTTGTTTCATCATTGAGTCATCTGAATAATACGTAAGTTATGAGGTTACCAAATATATGGTCACTTCTCTTGTATAAAATTTAGTGTCTCGTATAAGCAAAATGAGGAAAACGTGTAGATTTTATGAAGTGGGCTTGCTCTTTTAATAAGGAGCCGTTGTCTCGTTCTAATCTCAAGCTTTAACCCATGCTATTGCCCAATATAAATTCACAACCAAGTTTTGGGTTTTGGAAGTCGAAAACTCAACAACAAAAAAAACCAAAAAGAAGGAAGATCAGAAGCTCATAAACATGCCTTGCCTTTATATCTCCACCAACGTCAACCTTGACGGAGTCGACGCTGATTCCATCTTTTCCGAAGCCACCAAAGCCATCTCTGCCATTACTGGAAAGCCCGAAAATGTAAGCTCTCTCTCTCTCTCTCTCTCTCTCACACACACACACAAAAATACACAGTTTATGTTGGAAATCGGGTGTCAACAGTTTGCAGCGTCTGTTAGTTAACCGTTAATTGTAAAGAACAATAGGTTTAACTTTTTGTTTACAACCCAAATTAGGTAACGTTTGAGTGGCCAGAGTTCTCTAATGTACAAGTGATTATTTCTAGAGTCTAAACCTAGGGTTTTGATTGTTTATGTAGCATTGAGATATGAACATCCTTTTGGGTTCTGCGAATCACTTATTCTGTCTTGTTTTCGTTTTGCTCTTTATTCAGAAGTGGGATTTCATCTGGATTGGTTTTTTTTCAATAAGTCTTTTGAGTTATAGAATCGAAAGAACGTTTCTCTAATCAATTAACCAGCATCAAAATCTCATCTCTGTAAAATGGTAATTCTGGGGTTCTGTTCATTCATCTGCCAAGTTTGAAAGTCAGCTTAAGCAGATGGGGATGCCATGTCATAATCTGATCGAATAAGGGGATTTTTTGATGGTTCAAAAATGAGAAACAACAACACCTAGTATGTCATTGTGTCAACATTCCAAGCCAATAATATACTGTCACGCGTTTAACTTTGCGATGACATGATGTATTACTTATAGGTTGTTGTTATCGCCGCAATAACTTTTCGAATGTAAGTAAGTTATTCTCCTGCCTTAGCCGAAGCCCTTCTGTTGAAGTTCAAGGGCTGCTGAGAGACTCTATTCAATCTGGTAGTGATTTTTTTTTTTTTTTAATTTTTTTAACGTTTGTTTTTGGGGTAGGAAACTCTAGCAGTGATTGAAGATGTCCGGTTGACGAGGAGATTAGGGTTTTAAATTCTAAAAGTCAGTTGCTATCTGATTAACTAGTGTATTAATTAGGAGTGATTAAGGACCACTTGTTGACACAATATAAGGCACTGGAGTAGCTGTCCTGTCCATTTGGTTGGAATCGCACTACTTCCTCACTTAATAGTCACTACTGCTTACGCATTTCTGCCTAATTTGACTCTTACGTGCCAGCTGATCTTATCTAGGGTTGTACTCGAGTACATGTCGTCCATATGCGAGTGGTTCTGTCTCGGCCATGTAGGCGCTTGACAATGCATCAGTAATGATTAAGAGTTATTGACTCGCACATGAACGGCTATACTCAGCATTCCTCGAATGCTCACTGTTTTTTTTTAAATATTGAACGTCTCTTTGCTTGCAGTTTGTGATGGTGGTACTTAAGGGATCGGTGCCCATATCGTTCGGGAAGAGTACCACTATACCGGCATCATATGGCGAGTTAGTAGCAATGGGTGGCATTACCACGACCGTGAAGAGGCAGCTGATCGCCACTCTCGGCACGATTTTTGAGTCCAAGCTTTCGATCCCAAAAACCCGATTTTTTCTTAAAGTTGTTGATTTAAGTACTCCTACAGGATCTAAACTGTAAAATGAAAATACCTGATGTTGTTCTTCAACAAAATAAGGGATGATAAATCCGATCTATTGTTTTTATGCACGGTGTGAACTTGTGATGCAAAAAATCAACAACTGAATAGTAGCAATTCCAAATAGTGAAGTTCTTTATCTAGTCCAATAATATTTGGGAACATACTTTTTTCTTGTCATCCACGCAATAGGCTAACTTTTCATATGGGTCCATACAGATAAGGGCTTCTCCAATGAACCCTAGACACAAAACTCAAATTTGATTTTGATCTCAATCCAAAAGTTATGATAGATACGAGTTTGTTTAGAATTGTTTTTAGAACAGTAAAAAATGTTTTCTGGTAATTAAAAATATTTCTGCTTTTGTTGACGAAAATAATTAAAAATGATTTTGCAACATACGAGGTCTTTCCAAAAAAAAAAAAACATTTAGAAAGCACTCCCAATTGCTTTTCTAAAAAGAACTTGCACTTGAATTTTTTAATAAATTTTTCAATATGTTTCTAACAAATGCCCTTAGGAACAAAGATGCTTCATAAAGTAGTCCTATACGATCTGAACTCAAGTCCGTCAACTCAAGTCCCAAATGGTGGAATCATAGATGAAAGAGAGAAAAGAGATTTGGGTCCCCATCCACCACCACCAACGAGAGATTCACGAGAAAAAAAAATGTTATTATTAACACTACAAAAAACTCATTACACACTTTAAATTATATATATATATATATATATATATTCTTTTTTTTGCCAAAAAATATATTTAAGAAAAGTGCATAATTCACAAACATTGTTCTTTAGGAAAACTAATGAAAAAAGTTTAAAAACTTTGAGTTTTAACAATAATGACAAAATAAAGGGTAAAGTGAATACTATAAGAATTTATAGTGTAAAAATGTAATATTTCGTTGAAATGAACGAGAACTTTTCGTTAAAATTCCTTTATTCTTTTTGAATTGCGGATAATAGTACCAAAAAACCTCGAAAGACATGACATTTGAGTGACATGCAAAAAGAAAATATGAAATTCATTGCACCGTTGCTTTGAATCCGGAAAGTTTACCATTTATGCGTCCCAGCTACATAGCATTCACCACCGGGTGGTGTTAGGCTGGACCATACCATATGCATCTTTGAGGGAGTAGTTTTCCTCTCTATGAGGAGGGTTGTGTCTAGAGATGGGCAATGGTTATGCGGGCGGGTAACCACGGTTAATTTACCTATAACCGTTTATGCTCATATCCGCATAACCGTTTACTCATTGAGTAATTACCTAAACGGTTATACTCATACCCATAACCATTTATAAACGGTTAACCATACCCATAACCGCATACCCATTTAACCGTAACCGTTTAATACCCGTTTTCCATTTACCCTCTTTAACCAATTTATCCTTTTTTTTTTACCATAACCTTTTTTTCACCCGTCTACATGTTTTTTAACAACTTGAAAATTAAAAAAAAAATTGTCATAATATTAATCCCTGCAAGGATTTTCTAGCTTCTGCTTGTTGTTTGCCTTGTGTTGGCTTTCTGTTTGGTTGGCTTCTTAGCCCAGGTTCTGTTGTACCAGTTTTCCAAAAAAAAAAAAAAAAAAAATAGAAAGATGCAGTATTCAAATTGAAGAGAGGTGATTGTTGGGTTAATAACCCAACTTCCCATCCCCTGTCAAACAGCCCCGTATGTGTTTGTGTGTGTGTGAATATATATATATATATATATATATATATATATTCCCATCCCCTGTCAAACAGCTCCGTATGTGTGTGTCTATATATATCTATATATATATATTTTTTTTTTTAAATATTCAACATTACATATATAAAATAAATAGGTAAACGGTTACTCGTTTATAACCGCGGTTAATACCCATAACCACCCATTTAAATTTCACTGGTAATAGCCGTTTAATTATCTAAACGGTTACCCATAACCGTTTATGCTCATATCCGCATAACCGTTTACCCATTGAGTAATTACCTAAACGGTTATACTCATACCCATAACCATTTATAAACGGTTAACCATACCTATAACCGCATACCCATTTAACCGTAACCGTTTAATACCCGTTTTCCATTTACCCTCTTTAACCCATTTATCCTTTTTTTTTACCATAACCTTTTTTTCACCTGTCTACATGTTTTTTAACAACTTGAAAATTAAAAAAAAAATTGTCATAATATTAATCCCTGCAAGGATTTTCTAGCTTCTGCTTGTTGTTTGCCTTGTGTTGGCTTTCTGTTTGGTTGGCTTCTTAGCCCAGGTTCTGTTGTACCAGTTTTCCAAAAAAAAAAAAAAAAATAGAAAGATGCAGTATTCAAATTGAAGAGAGGTGATTGTTGGGTTAATAACCCAACTTCCCATCCCCTGTCAAACAGCCCCATATGTGTTTGTGTGTGTGTGAATATATATATATATATATATATATATATATATATATTCACATCCCCTGTCAAACAGCTCCGTATGTGTGTGTCTATATATATCTATATATATATATATATATTTTTTTTTTTTTAAATATTCAACATTACATATATAAAATAAATAGGTAAACGGTTACTCGTTTATAACCGCGGTTAATACCCATAACCACCCATTTAAATTTCACTGGTAATAACCGTTTAATTATCTAAACGGTTACCCATAACCGTTTATGCTCATATCCGCATAACCGTTTACCCATTGAGTAATTACCTAAACGGTTATACTCATACCCATAACCATTTATAAACGGTTAACCATACCCATAACCGCATACTCATTTAACCGTAACCGTTTAATACCCGTTTTCCATTTACCCTCTTTAACCCATTTATCCTTTTTTTTTACCATAACCTTTTTTTCACCCGTCTACATGTTTTTTAACAACTTGAAAATTAAAAAAAAAATTGTCATAATATTAATCCCTGCAAGGATTTTCTAGCTTCTGCTTGTTGTTTGCCTTGTGTTGGCTTTCTGTTTGGTTGGCTTCTTAGCCCAGGTTCTGTTGTACCAGTTTTCCAAAAAAAAAAAAAAATAGAAAGATGCAGTATTCAAAATTGAAGAGAGGTGATTGTTGGGTTAATAACCCAACTTCCAAACATCCCTTTGTCATGTGTGAAACAGCCCGTATGTGTTTGTGTGTGTATATATATATATATATATATATATATATATATATATATATATATATATATATATATATATATATATATTCCCATCCCCTGTCAAACAGCTCCGTATGTGTGTGTCTATATATATCTATATATATATATATATTTTTTTTTTTAAATATTCAACATTACATATATAAAATAAATAGGTAAACGGTTACTCGTTTATAACCGCGGTTAATACCCATAACCACCCATTTAAATTTCACTGGTAATAACCGTTTAATTATCTAAACGGTTACCCATAACCGTAATCATGAAATTTAAATGGACGGGTAACCATGGTTATCCATAACCGTGGGTATTTTGCCCAATTCTAGTTGTGTCCTTTCATTTATCACCAACTATTCACATGTTTTGTGACAAACTAGTCAAATTGTACACCAAGAGATGATATACAAATCACATGTAAATTTGGAGCAAGTAAGACTAAATATAACGGGCGACGGATATCTTGTTCAAAATGTTGGAAAAACTTCAGCAATCCTATTTTAAACTTCAATTTTTATACTAAAAAACCAACAAAACTTTGACTCAAGTTAGTCCATATGGGTGCGTTTGTTGCACCGGACTGTTTCGGACTAGACTAACTGCAGGGACTAAGCTGGACTTGTTTAGATTAGACTAATTTGGACTAACTTAATGAAGCGTTTGGTGCAATGTCGAACTAGAAATGAGGATAATGAAATACCCATCAATGTTTGAAAGAAATGGGGGCTTTTGAGCTCTCAACTATGTGAAAGAAACTCAACTAATTTTCAGACATTGCAACCACATTTGGAATCAAACATGCATCCATAACCCACAATCTATGGCAAATAAAATTACGATTCTTCGTTAGTTTTCTCAACAACCAAACAGCTTGTAAAATATCCATTGAAGAAAAGCATAATCAACATTTGCAAATCTTTATCTTCAATGTAAGAACAACATAAATTCGAAGAATAAATGTAAAATAAAAAATGACCAAAACAAAAGAACCGATCTATATCACCAATTATTCAAATCCAGAAAACCCAGTTGAACCCAATTAAAAATAAACCCAAACAATCCAATTTTCCAGCAAATCTTTTAAACTAGACAAATTGTTAAAATCCCAGATGACAAGTTCGTTGCTTGGATCCCAAAGATCAAAAGAGAGAGTAGTGCTTGGAAAAACCCAAATTGATCCAATTTCTCCAGCAGATCTTTGCAATCCGTTTTTTGCCTTCAAACCTCTGTCTTCGAACCCAACCTTTGAACCTCAGTTTTCAAACCTAGTCAACTGAAGGACTTTTAGTCTAAACACGAGAAGGCCCAGAAATGCAAATACAGGAGTCGTGCTTTGCCCGTCTTCTGGGCCGATCATCGGATCTAATGTACTAGAATGGGCCCAAAGAGTGAAAATATTATGCCGGACCCACAAGGGGCATTTTGGATATTATCCTCCCTCCTTCTTGCAACAGAAGGGGAGAGAGACTGAGGGAGGGTGAGGGTTTTTATTTACCAACGCATTTGCAGAAAGCAGCCAGAGAGTGAGAGAGAGAAGGATCGGGAAGACGAAACGATGCCGTGCCTGAACATTTCAGCTAACGTGAACCTGGACGGCGTGGACACCTCCGCCATCCTCTCCGAAGCCACCTCCACCGTTGCCAAGATCATCGGCAAGCCCGAGGCTGTACGACTTTTTCCCTCTCTCTCACAGACATTTACAAACATTTTACTTATATTTTATAATATTTGTACTAAATTGTAAATTTCATGTATTTCTGTGTTCATGTTTAAATTAGTTTCATTAATTTTTGATGAATTAAGAGTATATATGTGAATTAGCTTGGTTTTAGCTACCTATTTGCTAAAACAAAACTAGGGTAAAATCGTTTCGGTAATTTTCACTTTTTGTTCAGGAATTTCGACCAAATAATTTTGGGGGATGACTGAGTAATTTCTTTACTTCTAGGATGTATAACTTTAACACTCAGAAAAATGGTAAAAATTACTTAGCAAGTTGAACTTGTTAGGGATTGTGGATTTTTTTTGTTTTGTTTTGGAGATAATGTAGTTCTTAGGGCTTGTTTTACGAAATTGGAGAATCACTAACCAAGGCCTTTCAGCGATTCGACTCAAACCCCTAAGCTAGATGCTTCACCTACCAGTACCCGACCTCAGAGAGAATAGAACGAATCGCCTGGATAAGGGAGCAACTCGAGATAGATGCAATATCCTTTCTCCTGCCCTTTTCACTTATAATAGAAAGAAAATTTTATTTTTCAGCTCCCACTAATTCTTATGTTTTGTCGGTCGAATAGCCTTAGGGTTTATGCCTGCCTGTAATCACTTAAGAACTTTTCAATTTTGCTGATCACACTAGAAGTGATTTTGTCCTGCCGTAATCACTCCCAGAAGGATTGTTAGTCATGGATGAGCGTAATAATAGAGTTAGGAAAATGATTTTCGGACACAAGTTCTCTCCTCTGTACAAGCTTGGTTATTTCTGTCCCTTGATTATCCTTTAATTTATTCAATCGAAAGGCCGTAAGCATGGTGTGTAGGAGGAGAAATAGGGTTTGCGAAAATCACTTCCCTTGAGTTATAGCCTCATAGGCATGCCTTTTGATGATAACTTCAATGTCGTTTTATCCCTGAATTAGCTGAGAAAAAAATTAATGCTCTACTGATATTGGACAAGAATTATACATTTTAAGTTCATAGTGACTTTTTGGGGTTAAACTTTTTATCCTTTGGTTGATGGTGATCCTGTTGAATGTGTTGATATGCAGTATGTGATGATTGTGCTGAAGGGATCTGTACCCATATCTTTTGGTGGGACTGAGCAGCCAGCTGCATACGCTGAGTTGGTCTCCATTGGTGGCCTTAATCCTGATGTGAACAAGAAGCTAAGTGCTGCAATTGCCGCAATTCTTGAGACAAAGTTGTCTGTGCCCAAGTCACGATTTTTTCTCAAGTTCTATGACACCAAGGCAAGCCAACATCTCGCCTTTTTAATTTTCCATAGAAAGGGTCATTTGCATATGCATGGCTTCTTCTCATTGCATTCTTCCTGTTTGTTTAGGCCCATCAGAGTCAAGAATATGCACAGTGTTTGCATGCTTTACACCAGAACTAGATCATGTAAATAAATCTTTACTGTTTAAAACCTCAAGCACTGCTCCTTTTAGCTTCTCGCAGGAACCAAACTCATGTTTAGTAGCAATTTATTCTACTTGTTCCTATGTTTGATGATTCTGATGTTTGCTATTCTGCAGGGTTCCAACTTTGGATGGAATGGGTCTACCTTTTAGAGTACGTTTTACCATTTGAACAATGTCTCAAGTTCGCCATGAACTTTCAGACAGCTTTATATGTAGTGGTGGTTTCGTATTATTATCACAGTACTTTGAAATCACAGACGACTTTATTGTCATTTTACGTATGTATGCTTAAGTAGAACCTAATGGAATGTTTGAAGGCTTGTTGTATTCTCCGTTTGGCATAAGTTATTTTCATCTGGTACTGATCAATGATGTTATGGAACCCCGTAGTTGGCAATCCTGGTGTTATGTTCATCCATTTTATCTGGTGTTTGCATCTGTCCGGGTCTGTTCTATATCTTAAACTCGGATTTGTTTTCTAAGTCTATATTAGAAATCGGACTTTCTCGAGGGAGAATAGGCACAGTTTCTTGCACATCATGCTTGCAATTCATAGAAGCACATTATTACCAATCTGTTCTTGATCTAGTCCCCATCTGCGTAACTGCGTTTATACTTTCCAGAACTCTGTCCGTGGTTAATCGGCGGAATTGTTAAATGTTGTGTTTGGAACCTTGGGTTGAAAATCTGTGTAGCTAAATTGCATCTGTTAGCATACTATGTCTACCTCTGGTATTAGTTAGGATGGTTCTTTCGTTTGTTTTACTCAAATGCATGTGCAAATCTTGTGAGTTGTGAGAAAGTGGCATCACAACCTCCTCCCCTTGGTGCTCAACGTCTAACAATTACATTGCACGATGTCAAATGCTGTTATATAGTGCACTGTAACGTCGTTGAATAAATTTATTAGTATCGTAAAAAGTTATAGACTGTATGTACACACTTTGTCTCTTAGATTGAGAAGTTATCGTATATAGCAAAAATTTAACGTGCAAATTCAAAAATGTCAGTTTTTATAAAATATTTCAAATATAGCCAAAATTCTACTTTAATAGACCCAATTGCCCTTAAAATTTACACATAGTTACGTCAAAACCCTTTTGAATATTGTGTTATTGTTAATGAGGTTTTGGGAAACTGGACACGCATGAATGTATATTAGTTACAGCCATGGTTGAACAAGGAAGACACCATGAATATACGTCAGCTGCACCATTGCGAAGATGGAAACGCATTTTACTTGTCTATCCTAAGTATAAAATTCGAAGAACTCCACCACAAGTATAAAGTTCGAAGAATAAATTAGATTATTAGAACAGATGGGAGCCATGGAAACGACCATTAACTCAAAAGGATCCAAACGTGTTATAATTGTTGGATCAATATCCATCTCTTAATTAAATAGCTAATCTGATTTTGGTAATCCAACTAATATGCAGAATGCCATGAGAACATTAATGGAAATTTTCATGAAAGTTTCTGCAAAATACCAATTGAATCTTACACAAAAACATACATAAATTGTATTTTTGTGTAATTTTCTTCATGGTCTTGGTTGTAAGTTTGTCAATTATGAAATGAACTTGAGAATACAATGGGCTCGATTCCAACAGAACAAAAAAGAACGAACAGAAAAAACATCTCTTTGGTGTGTGGTTGTGTAATTATGAGGGTATTTTGGTATATTAATGTGAGGTTTTGGGTAGATTTGAGAATTTTATAAAAATTGACATTTATGAATGTAAAGGCTAAATTTTGACAATAAACGATAAACAAGTAGAACCCTCCGAGCAAACAGTAATTAATCAGCAATGAGATTAATGGAAAAAAAAGAAGGTAAATAAGTAAATAAAAACAAGAAAACGAGTGGAAAGAGTTCAATTAAGTTCCCGCTACATCTACGCCGTCCGTTTGGATTCTGACGATTTACGCGGCTGAGAGACCCTCAAACGATACAAGTAGAACCCTCCGAGCAAACAGTAAGAAGAAGAAAAGCCACCTTTCACCAAACGGGGTGTCAAAATATTTTTGACCCGGTTTCCGTCGTTGACTTTCCGTCGGCGAAACGTAACGACGAAGCAAGCAGAACCTCACAAGTCCTCTAAACTTAGCCCTTCTCCCTCCCCCGTTATTTAACCAAAACCCGCTAAAAAATTTCCACAAATTCCCCCGATAAGTTATCTGAGAGATCCGAGACCGAAAATCCAGATCCACCGACACCAGAACGTAAAATGTCGACTCCGACACCCCCGCCGATCCTCCCGGTCTCTACAACCGCAACAGCCGTCGGCGGCGGCACGGCCCAGTCCCAGGCTCCCATCGCTACCCCCGCCTTCCGCGCCTTCATCAACCACATCTCCGACACCTGCCGCAACGGCCTCGCCCAGCGCCGCCCCTGGTCCGAGCTCCTCGACCGATCCGCCTTCGCCAAGCCGGAATCCTTCTCCGACGCTACCGTCCGCGTCCGCAAGAACTACTCCTACTTCCGCGTCAACTACCTCGCTGTTCTCGCCCTCACCGTTGCTGTTTCTCTCTTCACCCACCCGTTTTCCCTCCTCGTCCTCCTCGGCCTCCTCGCCGCCTGGCTCTTCCTCTACCTCTTCCGCCCCTCCGATCAGCCGCTCGTCATCTTTGGCCGCACGTTCTCTGACACCCAGACCCTCTTGGGCCTCACCGCCCTCTCCGTCTTCGTCGTCTTCCTCACATCCGTTGGATCCGTCCTCATCTCCGCTCTCCTCGTGGGTGCCGCAGTCGTCTTCGCTCACGGCGCCTTTAGGGTTCCCGAGGACCTCTTCCTTGACGAGCAAGAGCCTTCCGCCTCCACCGGCTTCCTCTCCTTCCTCAACGGCGCTGCTTCCAATGTCGCTGCCGCCACATCGCCCGCCGTTGTCGCCGCTCGCGGTTGATCTGATGTATCTCCCCACTGTGATTGGATCGCGATCAAGATCATGATGGTATAATTAGTTGAATTGACATAAAACCTTGCTCTCAAACCACAAAAAATTAATAAATTTGAAGTTTTTGTTATATAAATATATGTAGGGTGGATTTTATTGACCAATTTGTATGGATCTGTGTACTTTAGTTCTGATTAGATAGCGAATTCATGTTTATTCATGGTTCTTGGTAGATCTATCAATCGAACTTTTGTCCCTTCCATTTGGTAGATCTATGATATAAATGATTCTTTTTGCTCTACTATCTGCAAAATCTGCAATGTGCATCTTCTGGGTTCATCTCTATGAACACGTTTTTCAGACACGAATGCCTTGGCTAGTTCATTTGTATGAGTGCATGAATGTTAGTATCTTGTGCAATATCTTTGATCCAATCAAAAGATTGCAGTCTTTGATACTTTTCCTGTGTTTGAGATTGTTAGCAGCTACATTGTTACCATTTCGGTTTTGCTTTTGTTAGGAAGATTGCCGATTAATCTATTATCTATGTAGTCGATAATGTCTTTTTCGATCAAAAATGATGTTTTCATCTATGTGATAGTCAGCAAACGTGCCTCAATCAGGTTTCATTTTGCTTTTGCAAGTATGGATCATGATATGCGATGCCATTGCTGATACCCGGTCTTGATGATGGGTTGGAATTCGGTTATCATGGGAGCATATCCTCATCCACGATGTGATGAAATCTTTTCGTTCTTGATTTTTATTCTATGGATGCGTAATTCATGTACCATTGTCTTAGCGGTGTACGGTTTTTATAGAACGCTGATGGGGGTGTTGTGTAAAGATCGCGTTGTTATCTGTTTGGGCAATGCTAAATCTGGGTTTTCTTCCTGTGCCCTTGTTTGTGTTCTTGCTGTTAAAAGATTGAGAAAGTAGCCTGTTTTTTCTTCCTTTTGATATGTTTATGTCAAGCAGAAGTCTTTGGCTCTTCCAAGTTTACTTTCAACACGTTTGATTTGGTTGTTCGGGGAACCCCTTCGTATTTGTTTCGAACCTCACGTTTGATGAAAAGCATGCTACTTGTGCCAGCGGAACACTGATCGTACCGCAGTTTGTGTTTACAAATGCGATTACCAGATGTTGCGTAAACCGTGTGCTTTCGGGATGAAATCCGACTCTCTTACTATCACGATTATGTAGATGATTATCGGAACCAGATTAGAGTGAATTTCGTTCATGCTGATGCCACGCAAAAGGCAAAAGGAAAAACTTTTAGGGGGGGAATCATTGATCTCGAACCAACCTAGTGTCACGGGATGACTCTTTAAGCCTTCCGCCCGTGCGGCACTTAGACTTGAATACCTCGATGAACAAGCTAAGTAAGCCTTCGAAGCCTCGCTTCCCCGGATCGAATCACAAAGAAAGCTAAGATAGCTTGGAGAATGCTAAAATCACTTAGAAGATGGGAGAAAGAAGCTTTGTATTGAGAACTTTACAATTGCTTACAATTCTTGGATGGTTTGGCCAAATGGCCTTACCTCCTATTTATAGGCCTAAGTCACCTCTTCAATGGAGGGTTCTAGAATCCCCTACTTACATCCAAAAATATCTAGCATAGTTCTAGATACAACTTGCCTAATCTAGATTATTCTAGGTGAGGCTTAAATATGTACACTTGTGTGGAATGTTCCGGAATGCCCTAGATTATCTTGAATGCTCCGCCACGTTCTTGATTTCTCCGGGACGTTCCAGAAGCTTCCATGAAGACAAGGCTTTATGGGCTTAGATATATGATGTCTTGGGCATTTTCTTTGTTTTTAACATGCGGCCCGTGACATCCTCCCCCACTTAAGCCGTCGACGTCCTCGTCGACTCTTGCCTCTCGAATGTCTCGATCAAGTCCTTATATTGCCATAAGGACGACTCCTTCTCCCATGTTGCTTCGGAGTATGGTAGCCCCTTCCATTTGACAAAGTACTCCACATGCTTTGGTTGTCTTGGTCGCACCACGACACGCTTAGCTTCAATGTTCTCCACTTCTTTGTCAAATGCCTCTGTCATCAAAGGGGGTGCTCGATGAGACTCACCTCGACTTGGTTCCTCATCGTCCGCATGATAAGGCTTCAAGTTGCTCACATGGAACACCGGGTGAAACTTGAGGCGAGGTGGGAGTTCCACAACATACGCAGCTTTGCCAACCTTCTTGATGATAGGGAATGGTCCCTCATATTTCCGCAACAAGCTCTTGTGCAAGCCACGAGTACTCTTGTGCTGAGACGCATTGAGCTTCACAAAGACTTGGTCGCCAGTTTGGAACTCCACATTCCTTCGCTTGCGATCCGCCCATTTCTTCATCTTTTTTGAAGCCTTCTCCAAATGAGCTCGAGCAAGTTCGTGGGCTAATTGCCACTCCTTAGCGGTTTGAAAGCGGCTGGACTATTCCCCGTGTAGCCAGTCATGACCGTGTTCGGGGTCAAGGGTTGTTGCCCTATAGCCAACTCGAACGGACTTTTCCCCGTCGACTCCGAACGTTGCAAGTTATAAGAGAATTGGGCAACATCAAGTAACTTAGCCCAATCTCGTTGATTGGCACTAACATAGTGCCGCAAATAAGTCTCCAACAATGCATTAACCCGCTCCGTTTGTCCATCAGTTTGAGGATGAAAAGCTGTGGAGAAGTCTAACTTTGAGCCAAGTAGCTTGAAGAGCTCCTTCCAAAATCTACCCGTGAAGCGAGCATCTCGATCGCTGACTATGCTCCTCGGAACACCCCAATACTTCACCACGTGCTTTAGAAACAAGCGTGCAGCTACTTCGGCTGTGCACTCCACAGGTGCGGGTATGAAAGTGGCATACTTGGTGAATCTATCGACCACGACGAAGATAGATCCACATCCATCAGACTTGGGCAAATGTGTGATGAAATCCATGGTCAAACACTCCCATGGTCTTGATGGGGTGGGAAGTGGTTCCAACAGCCCTCCCGGTTGCCTTTGTTCCACTTTGTCTTGTTGGCACACAAGACAAGTCTTCACGTATGAATCTACATCATCCCGCATTTGTGGCCAATAATAAGCATCGCTCACCAAAGCCAACGTGCGGTGAGTGCCAGGATGTCCTGCCCACATTGAGTCATGGCACTCCTTAAGGATTTCTTTCCTTAAGCTTCCCCACTTTGGGACGTAGATCCGCTTGCCCTTGGTGTATAGCAAGTCGTCCTCAAGCCAAAACCTTCTTGTCTTCCCTTCCTTGACAAACTCCACAATGTTCTTGGCTTGGACGTCATGTGATAAACCTTCTCGGACATGGCCCAAGAGATGGCTTTGCGGCTTGAGTACCGTAGCCATTAACTCTACTCGTCTACTTAGAGCATCGGCCACCACGTTCTCCTTTCCTTGCTTGTACTCTAGCTTGTAATCAAACTCCGCTAAGAACTCTTGCCACCTTGCTTGCTTAGGTGTGAGCTTTTGTTGGGTTTGAAAGTAGCTAGTGGCAACGTTGTCCGTCTTGATGACGAATGGGGTACCAAGCAAGTAATGCCTCCAAACTCTAAGGCAATGGACGATGGCGGTCATCTCCTTTTCATGGGTCGTGTACCTCTTCTCGGCATTGTTTAGCTTGCGACTTTCATAGGCTATCGGATGTCCCTCTTGCATCAACACTCCTCCTATGGCAAAGTCGGAAGCATCAGTGTGCAACTCGAATGGCTTACTAAGGTCGGGCAACCTTAGTACAGGCTCCTCCATTAGGGCCTTCTTCAACCTCTCAAAGGCCTCTTGACACCGGTCCGTCCATTCCCATGCCTTGTTTTTCTTAAGAAGGTCTGTTAAGGGTGCCGCTATAGCTGAATACCCTTTTATGAATCTCCGATAGTAGTTGGCTAGCCCCAGAAAGGATCGTAGTGTTGGTACCTTGGTCGGCGGTTCCCACTCTTGAATGGCCTTGATCTTGCCCTTTTCCATCATAAGTTTCCCCTCCTTTATCTTGTGGCCAAGAAATTCTACTTCTTTTGTGGCAAAGGAGCATTTCTCCTTCTTGACATAGAGTTCATGCTCCCGAAGGGTCTTGAACACTATGCGCAAGTGCTTGACATGCTCCTCCAATGTCTTGCTATAGACAACGATATCATCAATGTAAACCACGACAAACTTGTCAAGATAAGGATGGAATACCTTGTTCATCAATGTGCAGAATGTTGCGGGGGCATTGGTCAGACCAAATGGCATGACTTTATACTCGAACGTTCCATATCTGGTCACCATCGCCGTCTTCGATTCGTCTCCAGGGGCTATCCTCACTTGGTAGTATCCCGATCGAAGATCTAACTTTGTGAAGTACCTTGCTTCACCAAGTTGATCGAATAAGTCGGCGATCAACGGAAGTGGGTACTTGTTCTTGATGGTAATCTTGTTCAATGCTCTATAGTCGATGCACAACCTTAGGCTACCTTCTTTCTTGCGTTGGAACAGGACGGGTGCACCATATGGGGACTTGGAGGGTTGGATGTAGCCAGCATCAAGTAGCTCGTTGAGTTGCTTCCTCAATTCCTCCAACTCGGGTGGCGACATCCTATAAGGTGATTTGGAGGGAGGCTTAGCACCAGGCTCCAACTCAATCGCATGGTCGACCTCTCTCCTTGGTGGCAACTTCTTAGGCAGTTCCTTAGGCATCACGTCCGCGAACTCCACCAGGACGTCTTCCACTTGTCTCGGCAAAGGCCCGTACTTCTCCTGCCCTTCATTCAACATTAGGGTTGCAAGAAATGTGGCCTCGCCTTTCTTCCAAGACTTGGCAAATTGAATTGCCGACAAGTGTTGGGTGCACTTCTTGGCTTGCCTTTCCAATGGCACTAGGCAAGGTTGTCTTCCATCGGCCAGGATACAGAAAATATTGTAGAAGGGAATGGGAAAGGCTCGTACCTTGTCCATGAACTCTAACCCAATGACTACGCCATAGTCGTCCATCTTGACTATAGTGAAGTCGATCTCTCCCTTCCATGCGCCAATGTCTACTTGTACATTGCGCGCAACTCCAACAATAGGGGTGGCAGCGGAATTTACCGTCTTCACGCTACCAGGCTCCTTTGTGACTCGGAGGCCAAGCCTTGTTGCTTCCTCCGACGTCATGAAGTTGTGTGTTGCTCCCGTGTCCACCAACACACGCGTCGTCTTGTCACCAGTCTTGACGTCGACGAACAATGATCCTCCCCCAACTTGAGCCTTAGGTTGTGAGAGGGTTGTCTGGATGGCATTCAGTAGACGGATGCATCCCATCGTTGCATCGTTACTCTCTTCGGCCTTG